CCTGTAACATATTTTATTTCTAATTAATTAATCATCAAATTGGTAATTTAATAATCACTGATAAAAATATATTAATTCTTAGTTAATATCCTTAATATAGAATAGAATCTATCTCGGATAAAAAATAAATAATATAACATAGAAAACGTAAGATTTCAAAATTTGTAGAAAAAAGTAAATTTATAGAAAACAAAATACAGAATTTTTTCATGTAAAATAAAGTTAATTTTAAATATGAAGAATTTTAAGATCGATGTAAAAGATTTTTTTTATATAATTTTTATTGTGTTATCTATAATACATATGTAGAATTTTTTTTAAGTTTTTTTTAAAGTTGCAAATTAACATAATTACCAGTATTAACATCCATTGCGGCAGCGCTTTTATTAGTTGTTGGGTCGCTAATTAAAAGTACTTTCATTTTATTACTGAGTAATAAACCCCTGTACAATCGCTTGTCATTGTGTGATCTTACTATATGATCGAATCGTTTCTCCACACGTTTATCAGTTAACATATTGATCACTGAAGTCTTGAATTCGGGAATTTTCTTCACAAATAAAATTAAAGGAATACAGAAGACTTTAAAATCAGTGCATGGCTTTATTAATCTATTATGTTTATATATAAATGATAGTAACGAATATTCAAATTAATAAAAAAAGTGTAAATTATCAAAAAATTATTTGTATAATAATCTCGTTTTAATACACTTGTTTATTAGTGCAAATTGCATAAAATATTTAATAAATATTTAATAATAAGAATGAAATAAGATATTAAATAAAAATATTTATATATTGTATATTTATATATACAAATAAATCAAATGTTACAAAAGTTTGAAATATTTGAATTATGAATATATTCTTTATCATCAAGTTCTTTATTATCAAGTTTTTCTTAAATAAGCTAAAAAGTTAGGAATAGAAAAGCTCAAGTATCAAATCTTGTATGTGACAGTTTATATTACTAAATTAAAAACAATAATCATATAAATGTAATAAACGTTTCGACCTCAGATTGGATCCCCCTTATCCTCAGTGTCTGTATCATGACGCATACAATAAAATTAGTCTATTATATTCTAAATTAATATTACAAATCTGTAAACAGAACTAATAAACTAATAAATGTGCAAAAATGATAACAACATGTAAAACGCATCACAAATAATATTTTATTTTTGATCTCAATTTGAAGAAACAATTGTTGTATGTATTATTATTGTTTTTAATTTTAAAAATATAAACAATATAAGGTCCGGTGTTTCAGTTTTCATGCTTCTAACATTTCGACTTTCTTAGGCAAACAAATAAAATGTGATTATATATTAATTTGTTTTCCCTAAAGAAATTCTTCTCTAAACAAATATAAAAATGTAGAATGCTGTGTTTTTTCATTTATTTTAATATGGTTAAATATATTTTAACAAAAATATAAAGAACGTGAGCACACAGATAAAACAAAGAAAATTTAATTTTAGATTAATAAAAATAGAAGAATTAACTATAATAATATTAGAAAATATTTGTAATTACAAATACCTATATTTTTAAACATTTTGTTAAGATTGTATGTAACATCTATAAAACATAGATTTAAATACTGTATATTTATTTATAAAATTAATAAAAAATTATTTGATTCATATTCCTAGACCAAAAAACATTTTAACAATTAATAACTTCTCTGATGGCTTTTATATTTTAATTATTAACGAGACGAAGACTTTCTTTAAGAGAAATAGATTCAGAAATTAATTAATGTACATAATTTTGTTTATTTATACTTTTTCTAGAATTTGATTTGCTAAACGTCTATTATTTTAGTTATTAATTACTGAACATCTATATAAATCTATATAAATGCATCTCTTTCTTTCGAAAAAAAAATTTTAAATGAGGCAAAGGATTATGTACAGCAAAAGAACATTTGGAATATATTGTTATAATAACATGAAAATAAAAAGAAAATATTAACTTTCTTAGTTTCTTTGACTGAATCAGGACTAGAGTATTAAATGTAGATATAATAAAATATATAATAAAATAATTAATAATAATAATTAAAGGCGCGGTAACAAAATAAATCAAAGAATCAAAAGAAACAAAAGACTGTTCGAGTTGAAGCTAGATAAGAATGCTAAATACATTTTAGTAATTATTAACGTTTATAAAAATTCATTATTTCATTTCATCAACGCAAATGTTTTGATCTTTAAGTGACCATCGCGAAAATATTAACAGAAAGACAAATTAAATAAAAAATAAATTAAGTAAAATTAAGTTATAAGCCCCGAACACATAAAATTTGGTTAATATAAAATTTTCGAGACGCCTTACAGTTTTTCAAGATATATAATAGATGAGTGAAAAGAGAGGCGTAATACTTCGCTTTAGTTTGATGAATCCGATGAATATGATACGTCCTGTCAGGTAGGTTCGAATATTGCGAATGATGGCAAGTGGCGTGCTCGCGTTTGCAGAGACCCATAAATACCTGAAAACGAAATGCGAATATGTGTGCGGCACGTGGGATTCTAATACGCGCATGACGTGTAGAAGGTGAACTTGCGAAGTCGAAAGACAACATGAAAAAAACCTATATACACGCATACGATTGTCACCGACGAGTGGCGATCGACGATGGCTTGAAGTTATAAGCGCGAACTTACCTTTGCTCTTCAATATTTTTAAGGGATACAAAATTTAAATTCAAACGAGGATGCGCGGAGGAGTGATGGTTGGGAAGAGTGGTTGCATTCTATGCTTACGTAAACATTTTTAAAATTTAAAATTTTGTTATTTCATAAGCTTTCTGTTCAATTTTTCTCCAAAGTTTTAAATAAGAGAAAATATATAGACAAGTCATGTATGTGAAACAATATAAATAAGGTCAATACATACGAGCAAAAATCGTTGAAATAATATTTATTAAAACAAATCACAGTGACAACGAAATTTAAATACTTGAATGTTTCGGTTATGCTGAGCCTTCCTCAGCAAAGTTAAAAATTCTAATAAAACAAATTTTGTAATAAAGAGTAAATTTCTTTTTCTATAAATACGCTGTATGTATATTTATATACGTAAATATGAACATATTGATAAGTGTACGTGAATATTATATTAATCAGTATTTTAGTTTATAATAAAAAAAAAATTACAAATATATATAATATAATATATAATTATATAATACTATATAATTATATAAGCATTTTCTTGATATATAAATTATAGATGCAACACGGCATATATCAGAATGCGATTTTTTATCGACAATGTGGGAAAATGGATGGAACTACGTACATACTTCCAATTCAAGAATAAATGTACCGATGTAGTGTACAGAGAATTTGACGGACCGCGAAAAAGGCCGTCATTTCAAGCTTTTCTCTGGAATTACTATTTAATCAACGGACGATATGGACACCATTGTCTTTATCACTCTTGCGTCTAGCACGGAAAAGAACCACAAAATCGTGGACATTACCTACGCGAATAAGGTTACAACTAAATCACGGGCATGTTCGCTCTCAGGCTTCTCTCTGCCTTCAGATTTCTCTCTGGTATAAAGTTGCCTATAATCGATAAATTCCAAATAAATTTATCATAATGCAAGCAGAAAGAGACCATTTAAATTGTTTTCCTGATGAAGGTATTATTAAAGCTTTCTATAAATCTAATGGTAGTAGGATTTCATTATTTTTCGCAGATGATATTAAAGTAACCTTCCAAGAATAGATTTTTCTTGTGGTGATAACAAAAAAAAAGAATTTTTAAACTAGTATGTAGTTAATTTTATAAATTAAATTTTTTTATTAAGCATTCTTTTGATTGTGATGAGTCCTGTTTAAAATGGAATTAACTATAATGAAATAGTCATAAAGTTATCCGTTTATTTTTGCATATATAATATTATTGCATATCTATTCAAATGCTATTACGTACATTATGAAAGTTTTAAATAAGATCAGTATTGTATTGTATATTTTAATTTTATAATTAAATTTAATACTTTTATTACTTTTATTTTTTGGTTTCTCTCTCTCTCTCTCTCTCTCTCTCTCTCTCTCTCT